TAGATTTAACTGCACAGGTTATTTCTTTAAGATCAAATTGATTTTCCATGTTCTTCATTGAGCAGCTTATCAAGTTTAGGAACGGTAACAGAGTTCAGAAACTTTTTATTTTCAATATTTATGTCACCGGATGATATTTATAAATTTTCATAATACGTTTTCTGCTCAGTGAGTATTTCACTACCATCTAAGATTTCATCTCCATTGTCTCCCATAGGCGCATCGATCATTTTAGTGGTGTAGTGTCGACTCTCAAGGTGGCATAAATACTTGGTAGGCTTTTCCCCTTCAACATACCATTGGGTCCTAGTCCTAAAATCTTTTCCTTTGACCTAGGTTTATTTCATACTTTCCAATTTGAGTTTTTTAGCTGACAGAGAGGTAAAAAGCTGTTCATCAATTGCCTGAAAATTACTTCATATTTCATCCTCCTTTTCCCTAATTATGGTTTCAAACTCTAAGGTATCTTTATTTGACTTCTTTTTATGGTAAGTACCATAAGATATGGTTTTCGATCTAACTTTCATAAGAAAAGTCTCTAAGAAAAGTGTATCACTAAGGCTTAACTCTAAATCTTTATCATCAATGCGTTTCAAATCCTCTAAATTAAGTTTGCTCTAAGCATATTCTTGTTTAGTTTCATGAAGACTTTTTCAAACTATATCAGTATATTCATTAATTCTCAACGGTGATGTATTGAATTTCCAGTAGCTTTTCCTCTAGACTTACATAAAGAGTTGAAAAGAGTTAGTGTGATAGCTGAAAGATCAGATTTGTATCCTGGGAGAATGTCAGAGGATTTGCAATACCTCTAGAAAAAACTAGGAAAAAATCAAGTCTTGATTGTTGTCTAGGATTTTTCTTCCACCAAGTACATTTCTTGGAAAAGGGATTACGTTCTCTCCAAATATCCACTAAGTCATGCTTCTCAACGTTGTCAAGTACTTCTTTATGGGCTTTAGGATTATTGGTGGATTTATAGTTCTCAAGGTCTACTAATGGATTTTGTACCAGGTTCCAGTCGCCACATATTACCAAAAATTGGTTGTCAAAGTCATCAATGTTATCGAATAAAGATTTGTAAAAAGTGGGGTTATCACTGTAGGGTCAATAAATATTGGCTAAAGTCAATTTTATACCATCAATAGTAGTGTCAGCAATTATAAAGTTACCTTGATCATCTTCCTTAAATTTATGGATCTGAATTTCAATATTGTTATTAAATGAAATAGCAATACCCCTTGCATTGGACTTAAAAGGTGCAATAATACTTTGAAGGCCCCACTCATTTCTCATAATAGATTCTAACTCATGGGAAATGTGAATATCCTGAAGACAGATTTATGAGCAATTTCTTTTCCACCAGATGTTCATAATTTCTTTCCGTTTCTGTTTTTCGGCTAGGCCCCTAAAGCTAACAGAGGCTATTTTGATATTACTACTCATTAAAATCACGTAATTGGAACATAGTTAGATGGAAGTTGAGATGAGATAACCTGAGATGCTGGGTTTTGCAATATTAGAACCAAACAAGAAAGTAAACAAGTGTATAAAAGCAAAAAAATGCTGCCGGAGTGGTGTACCAAACCATCTGAGGATGTATAGTACTGGATGAAAATATGACCTACACAATAGACCTAGTTGGCAGATCAACCCTACACAATAATATGGTGTATGTGTGGTATTGGAGTGAATTACAAATCAGCTTATAGTCACAATAACCTGTACATAAACAGGTATACATACACTAATTATGATAATGAATTGTATGAAGATATGACCTACACAACATACCTAAAAGGGTTATTAGAACTTATATCTGGTATTGGGATGAGTCACCGCTCAGTTTAACTGAAAAGGTCAGTAGTCACCAGAGCCTGTTGATAAACAGGCGTACACAACCCAAATACAAAGGGTGATAAATCTTGTCACGTGCACCTAAAAGGTGGCATAAATTACTTATGTCGGTAAAGTATAACAATATGGCCCAGTTCGTACGCTCTCAAGAGAGCTAATTGAAAATATGACTTGCGCAACAAACCTAGGTGTGAGATCAACACAGCATGTTAATAAGGTTTATATCTGGCAATGGGACAATTCACATATCAGTATGATAAAAACGTGTTCAGGTCATCGAAGCCCGTACATAAACAGGCGTACATGGGAAGTATGACCTACACAGCAGACCTTGTTGTAGGATCAACAAAACAGGGTAATATAGCTTATAATGGGATGGGATGATTTACGCATGAATGTAATTGAAAAAGGCATATAGGCAGCATGGCCCGTACATAATCAAGCAGCGTACACAACCCGAAAGCAGAATGTCACCAGTCTTATCACGAGCACCTAAAAGGTAGCTTAACTTACATACATTGCTAAAGTATATAAATGTGGCATTATTCGTACGCTGTCAAAAAATTTTGATTCAAAATATGACCTACAAAACTGACCTGTTGTACGATCGACATCACACGGCATTATCATGATTATGCTTTATGTCTGGTAATGGGATGAGACGCAGACCAATGTGATAAAAAAGGCTATAGCCTGTACATAAACATACAAACACAAGCCAGATACAGACGTGAGACAGGTCTAAATAACGTGCACCTGATACATTTGATAAACGTCAATGTGGCACTAATCACACAATGGAATGCTTATAAAAACAAAAAGCTGAATACAGGATTGCTTGGTAGTGATAAGTCAACATGTCATCATACTTACACATTTACGTTTCGCAGATCCCTCGTGCCGCTAGTTATGTAAACAAACCCACTCACTTCCGGGATAAACACAAGAAGTGGTATGTCACGTGAGAGTCACGTGATGAGTCATGTGATATTGTTCTCAGGTTAGTAGTGATCCGGGGCAGACGGTGAATTGCTACAAAGTCCCTGTCTTCCGCGTTAAGAATGTGAATGGACTTTAAGAGTTCCAGACTCGCTGGTTCTGCATCTCGTTCGTCAGGGAGTCCGTACATAAGCAGGTTAGACTTACACGTATACAGTCAGCTCTCGTTAATCCGACACTCATTAATCCGACAATCACGTTAATCCGACAAAAAATTAGGGAACCATTTAAAACAGTGATAATTACTCTCGTTAATCCGACATTCTCGCATTCCGTCTCCGACACACCAATCTAGCAACTGATTATTGTAAATACATTGTAAAAACATTTGTTAATCCGACAATCGATGATCCGACTGTATACAAACAATCACACGTGAGTGGTGAACATCACACTTGTTAATTAGGAACACAGGATAACTAATTGAGACGATTTAATCAAGAAATAACAGTTGAGCGAGCTGTATAAAATGTTTACAACTGACATGAGTTTTCATCACAAGATGTTTGTCACGAGTACACCACCTGCTAAGCGACCCCTTGTAGAAGTTACGCCATTGATCAAGAAAGAAATCTCCTTTTGAAGAAAGACAAACCCCAGACAACACAACAAGAAGTCTTTTTGCTGAGCAGAAGTTTGATGTGAAGATTGGACGATCAACCGTATCTTCCATCCTGAAGCAGTCTGCTTAGTATATCTCCTGTTCAAGTAGTTTCTTATCCATCGCTGAGCGATACTCGGCAAACTCGGATTTGAGCGCATTGATGTCGTCACGGTTGTCTTTAGTTTCTGCTGAATTAAACTCAGTAGTTGTAAGCAGCTCCCCCATTTTCCCCTGTAGTGCGACAATTTCACTTTTAATGTTATCGTTTATCTCTGCCGTATGTTCCTTGAACATTTGAGCTATGAACAGTTTCATGTCCTCGAGACCGGCCGGGTCTGTGATGGCGGCCGCCATGCTTGATCCAGATTTCGCACGTGAAGACGGGTAGGAGTCGTTTTTCTCGTAAGTTTGGCTGTCTTGAGATTACGTCGCCAGTCTCTGTTTCGTGAGTTGTCTTACTAGGCTCGGTCCCTTTACTCCTCGAAGACATTCGTGTAGAGGTCATTTTGGGCGGTAATTTGATGGTTTGGGTGGGAGAGAAAATATAGCAGACCATGTGGTGTAGCAGCGCCACCGGAAGTCTGATCACCGTCATATAGTTGGAATATTGCTGAGTGTGTTTTAAACAACAAACGAACAAATCCTAAGTCAAGCTGATCAGGACGTGCAACCGAGACAGTGGAGGTATACATGGATAGTATGTTGTGTCTAAACAAGTAACTTTCCGTGCTTCTTTAATCACAAGGGATACATACTTGATACATCGAGTGAGTCATATTTTTACATAATATTTGTGTGAGGGAATTGTCAAATGAAGATAAAAAAGTAACCTGAAACTGTGCCATCTAAAATTTCCTCTGGGTCTTTGTGAGTTTTAAATTTCCTTCAAAAAGCATACTTTTCCATTCACGAATTTCATTCAAACACACTTTCCGGTCCCGTGCAATAACATTTATGTTTTTGCGACAACAAATGTTAAAACATCCTCAAAAACCGAGCGATCAATAGAATCATTGAAAATCTTAAATAAAATTCTGCCTTGATTCAGATTGTAATGATCAGCCAAGGTGGAACCCACGCGGACAAGAAAATGGTTGTCACTTAAAACCTTCAATATAAACTGAGGCCAACGGCCTCGCTGTCCAAAGTAATGTGAATTCTTATAATACCGTATTTCCCCCCTTAGTAACGTATGCATCCGTACAACAAAACAGACAAACACTGCATGTTGTTTGCTAATTATGACATTTTTGACAAATGATTCTAAGTGCTCTACATGATCGATGGCACTTCTGATTTTGGTATGCATCAAGCAACCACCCACCCTTGCTCAGAAATGAGATGTTTTTGCAAACATTTTATGTTTTACGGACAAAAACCTTTTGTTTTCTGTTTTGATTTTATTTTTGTTTCGTTTTTATTTTTGCGATGTTGTTCTTGACCATGTATACAATGTAAACAGTGACCGTGAACTATAGCTAAATGATTAAAAATCCTGCTGATATTCGAGTAAATACTTGTCAAGATAATAACAACTCACTTGGATCACATATGATGCCAACATCTTCCCTGTGTTGACAATTGTGGACGCCCCATGAATTGTGTGAACAGCTGGCCAAAGACGATTCTGTACCGGAGCAACTCACGTCATCCAACCAAATCTGCCCTCCTCCAAATCCGAAAGTTTGAATCGCCCTTGGTGTAACTCCGCTTTAATAAACGCACAAATTACATTAAAAATATTGTCTTTTTTGCCCCCAAATTGTCATCAAACTATGGGCTACAATTATGGGTCAGTACTACCTTAAAATTGTGTCCAACTATTGTCACACAGACCTCACCTACCTCAGTGTGTGACATAATTACTATACTCAGAAGCAAGATGTATTGTGACACACAGACAACAAATAGAATCAGTTTGAATCTTTTACATCCCGTAATGAAATGTTATTGCATGCAAAGACAAAAGTTTCATGGTATGTTAACGATCAAAAGTCCCAGGATAGTACATAAGACACAATGAGGCCACAAAAAACGTTGATGAAAGTCCTGGGAGAGATCATTCCATATGCGTGGAAGGATTTAAACGAATTCTTGCAGCGATGTTTGGAAAATTGACGTGAAAAATGTGGAATCATTTCAGACGTTTATCGGGTGATCAATCAAATCTGGCGAGAATTCTTCTCCACACACGTGTTCCCAATCGCAGGTGTTCACTGAAGACGTCGACATCCGGGCGTCAAATCGCTGTTGGACTTGGCGGCGGATGTCGTGGACGCGTAGACGTCGTCGTACGCTTTTCACAGATACACCTCTGGTGCCAGGTATGATAGGGGATGTGAAGGTTGCTGGCTGGAACTTGTTCGAATCCATCGATCTTGACGTGGGTCGTTACAGTTGGGCTGTCCCTACGGGAATGAATGTTGCGGCCAACGTAGACATCAGTACCAAACAGTATTATGGACGTTGAATTGATGTTATTGTTTCTGACTTCTGCACTTCTTAAGACTGCACTGAGCGGAATTAATGGTTACTGGACATATCATTTATGCTTCTTTGACATAATTTGTGCAATTCGAACACCTGTTATGTTGCGTTTCTTCGACCATGTTAGTACACTCATTCTCTGATTCAAATAAAAAAAATCATGAGATTACCATGTCACATTAACTTTTGCCCCTGAGCATACTATAACCTATCTTCTTGTCATCCATACCTCAGGGTAAGAAACGAGAGCCACTACAACAAAGGGTATCACTGTTATCGTTACATACCTCACTTATCTCCATTATACACTTACTTCTATGCTATGATATCTTACTATTGTCACACACCTATCTCAGGTGGTATTGTAACATTGTATCTTACTACAGCCATGCATGTCACGCTGACCTCAGTACATCATGTCACGACTGTCACAACATTGCGTGTTTACGTGGGCGTGAGTATGGTTTAACGCCACTTTTAGAAATATTCCAGGATTATCCAGCAAGGAACACCAGAAATGGACACCACATATTTTACCCATGTGAAGAATCGAACCCGGGTTTTCTGCGTGACGAGCCAACGCTTTAACCACTAGGCTACTCCACCGCCCCATTTAAGTTGGAGGTGATAACGCGCATATCTTAGTGCATCTATTTAATTTCATTTTCCTACGTAGGCTTTTTGTGTTCTTGTTACCACGAGCATTTCATGTTATTGCTGAATTGATTTACGAACTCCACAATAATACCTTCGTTATCTACAGGTAATGTTTGTCTCTCTGCAAATAGTTGTTTAACATCAATATTTTAATATCCTTTAAATAAACTGATGAGATATATTAAAATTGACTGTTTTTCGTGACGGAAATGTATTTAGGAACATCTCCCGGAACGCATCACCCACCTCATCATTTCAATGAAAAGGACCATTATGCTTCTGTGGAAACACAGTATGAAAGTACAGTATAAAAAATATATGCTCATACATACATCACTTCAATACGTTGGACATTAAGTCATGCCTCGACTCACGGCACCGAGCTATTGGGATGTTGCATGACAGTCACGTAACATGGGTTGCAGCACCATCACCATACATGACGTCACCAACAGGTCGGACTGCAGACAGGCCTAGGGACAGGGAGTCAACCACCCCCTAAGGACCATTTATGACACAGTAACTGATTCCTGTTGACGTCATACAACAACGCCTTACCCACCTCAGTATTATCGTCGACTCCGCCGATTCGGTATCAGAGCCTACCATTATGACGTTAACGTAACATCGACGTCGTTGTCATACATACGTCACCCACCCCGGGTACGTCAGTGACGAGCCGCTTCCAGTTGAACAAAGCTGATGGTCGAGTCACAGACAGCGTCGGAACGTAACGCACAGCACGTTGTTGTCATACATACGTTTGGCACCGAGAGGAAGACACCTTGGTGATAGAGGGATTAATGCCCGTCACACATTGATGTTGAGTTTGCGACCTGTGACGCTTCCTCCAGTAAACTGACTGTTGTCATAGGATAACATACGTCACACTGCTGTTGTTACCCATTACGTCAACAACAACGATTCCATTATGACGCAGTAACCTGACTGTTGTCATACATACGTCACCCACCTCATTAACGTCAAGCAATAAGCGACCATTATGATGCAGCAACTGATCACGTGATCATACATACGTCACCTGCACGACATTACGTCAAGAGGTGGAGGCTACTGATTATGACGCAGTAACTGACTGTTGTCATACATACGTCACCCACCTCGGCCATTAACGTCCTGTGAATAACGACCATTATGACACAAATTAACTGACTGTTGTCATACATACGTCACCCACGTCATTACGTCAAATTATATCACCATTATGACAACAGTAACTGACTGTTGTCATCACATACGTCACCCAAAAATCATTACGGACACACAAGGACCATTATGACACAGTATATTTACTGTTGTCATACATACGTCACCCACCACATTATGTCACACAAGGACCATTATGACACAGTAACTGACTGTTGTCATACATACGTCACCCACCTCATTACGTCACACAAGGACCATTATGACACAGTAACTGACTGTTGTCATACATACGTCACCCACCTCATTACGTCACACAAGGACCATTATGACACAGTAACTGACTGTTGTCATACATACGTCACCCACCTCATTACGTCACACAAGGACCATTATGACACAGTAACTGACTGTTGTCATCATGGTATAATATATATTATTTTACGAAAACTATTTTACACATGGCGTCTTACGATCGTCCTAGTTGTCTGCAGGCCACTTTAGCTTCATTGGCACCAAAGCCATCGTCACACACAGTACCCCATGTGCCGTTATAGTACACCTCAAGTCTCCCAACACCGTTGTCAAGTGGGGACACGAGTCGGATAGTCTGACCAAACACTGAAAAGTAAACCTAATCTGTCAATATTTAACAACACTGACAGATTACACAATGCCATTTAGAAAGTGGTCAAATGTTACATATGTTATATTTGGGATTACACTTTCTTAGTAAAGTACAAATTCTAGCTCTTTTTGAGTTGAGCCCCATCCGGGATTCGAGCTCACACCCTCAGAGTCAGGGACCTAATCGCAAGCACACAAAGTCAGACGCCTTACCCGCTCAGCTACCGCGACTTCCACAAAATATGGAAGTCGGATAACTGGTAGTCTAGACTGCAGAATTTGTGTACCTCTCTGATGCGTGTTAATTGGCACGGCTCCCATGGCCAAAAGCTATGATTACACAATGCCATTTAGAAAGTTGTCAAATGTAACATATGTTATATTTGGGATTACACTTTTTAATAAAGTACACATTCTAGTACCTTTTTGAGTTCGAACTCACACCCTCAAAGTCAGGAACCTAATCGTCAGCACACAAAGTCAGCCGCCTAAGAAAGTGTAATCCCAAAGATAACATATGTCACAGAAACACTTCTTTAGTAAATATATGACGTGACATATCCAAGCTGAAAAGTGAAACATTTGTCAATGTTTAAAGAAAAACAACGAGAAAACACGAATGTACAGCTATCAATGACAGAACCGCATGTGTGAATAAATTACGTGAAATATTCAAACTGAATGCGAAAGATTTTGGTTTTTGTTTGGTTTTGTTCTAATGTTGGTTTTGTTAAGTTTTTTTTTTTAAGTTTGTTTGGTTTTTGTGTGTGTGTGTGTGTGCGTGCGCGTGTGTGTGTGTGTGTGTGTGCGCGTGCGTGCGTGCGTGCGTGCATGTAGACCGGGTTGATAACGTGCTGTGACTAACACAAGAACAATGCAGGACATGCTTAGTAAAGCTGTGACAGCTGTGTTGATGTATATAAATAATCCTCAAACATTCTTTTTCACACTGAGTCGTTGCGCCAAGTCTCACGACGTTAAAACTGGAGTTAACCCTCACGTCATTAACCCTTTTTCACGTCACTGGAGTTACCCCTTGCGTCACTGGAGTTACCCTTTCACGTCACTGGAGTTAAACGTCACTGGAGTTACCACTTTTCAAGTCACTGGAGTTAACCCTTTTCACGTCACTGGAGTTACCCCTTTCACTTCATAACAAAACGAAAAGTAACATACTTAACCGGCAAAACCGTGTATTCATGGAAATACATATGACGGGTTATGACGTCATAATGCTAGGAAGTGACTTCCGCTCGAGTGAATTAATTGGAGTACTTACTTTGATAGAATAACGGGTCACACAAGGATGTATGAAGGATGGAGCTTTTTTATCAATACTAAAGTAAAGGTGATTTTTACACAATTTTATAAATTAAACGTACAATGACTTCCAAAGGGTATGAAGAGGTTAGGACCTCCTGGTGTTAAGAATTGTATTGTAGGTTAAATGTATTCAGTGACATAGGGAGGATTATTTATCAGTTGTAAAACAAAGATTTGTACAACGAACACTTGTCAAATGTCAGTCCTCCAACAATGCATTAAGTGAGTGAGTGAGTTTAGTTTTATCTCGCACTCAGTAATAACCCAGCTATATGGTCTGTAAAACATCAAGTCTGGACCAACTGCGCTCTGATATTTTGATATATTAGTCTAACGTTTGCTGTGTGAACACTCGAGTCGGCAAACTCATAAAATAATTGAATAATAATCACAGACCACTAAGCTGAACCTGAAGGTCACACACACACACCTGGGCTGGAAGGGGAGGGTGGGGCTCAACAATCGACTAGGTCACACAAAGGTCACACCTATGTTACGTCATAACACAAAATGGCGGATATGGGTCTAAACCATCCCATGACGATGTTTCATTTATAGCGATGCCAATTAGTGATTTTTGTATTTTTACCCCTCTAGAGTACATGTGATCTTTAACGCCCTTACTGTGATTTGTTTGGTACTTGTGGTAGGCACAACATTAATTGTTTAATGGCTTTTGTTGGGGGTTGGGGCGGAGGTGTATTGGGGATTGCAATTAAGTTACTAGTTTGCTGCTGGTGGCGAATGTTTTGTTTGGATAGACTCTACTATTGGGTATGTTTAGGCATGTTTCCGGTAATATTTAGAGCTGCTTTGCATGGCTGATCGGCGTGTTCGTTTCCAAACACTTCAACGTCTGCATTCATGCACTAGTTTCAGATCTGGCATAGTTTGGGTTTAAAGTTTGATTTATTATTTAAGGTTGAATTTTGCTATTTTTCTTTTGAATAGGTGAGTAAATTTGCCAATCGTAGCATCTTATTGTGGTGTTTGACTAGCGGGTTGTGTAGCGTGGGTTTGATGCCCATCAATTCAGCCGTAAATAATGTCTGGCTGGCTGGTAGTCTATGTGGTTTGGAATATGTGGATACCGATGCCTGTGTGTGAACAGTGCTAAAACACTGTGTCTTAAATGCATCCAACTGCTGCACCTTCTTCAGTCATCCATGTCAGCAGCTTTGCATTTCTGCGTTGGCAAAACTTACCCACGTCTGGTATCATGACATGGCTTCAAACCCGGACTGACATCGATTCCAGTCGTAGTTCCATATACCACTGTATTCCAATTGTACTTTCTTTAGTATTTTCAGATGTAATGGAATTGTGAGTGTTGCGTTTTTAAAGTATTTCAGTATAGTTAATACGGCTCAATTCAACAAATGGGTCTATGGGGCTCTACATCGACTTAACATCATGATAAGTGAATGAAATAAGCACCTACCACTGACAGTCAGCGCAGATAGAAACATCAAATGAATCTCAAACCTCTTGCCCATGGTCGCCAGGTTGTACAGGTGGATCATAATATCCCGATTTGTTCTTCACCTTAATATCCCCTGATCACAGCTCAGTAAGCAGTGACTTCACAGTATTTGTCTATTTAAGTATAGAACTTCCTGGTTGAGCCACACAGGGTACAAGGAGGTTTATCTGTGATATACTGCCGCTGCCTTGTCGAACAGTAATCTTGACAAGATGATTTATCCACGAAACTGTCACACACCCGGATAATGTGAGATACGCGACGATCCGGGTTAGAATAAGTCTTCACCAACACATGCTTGAAGAAAGACTCGACTGTAGTCTGTATGCGGTGAAAACGTACCGATGAATTTCACTTTAAACAAAAAAAGTAAATCAAATAAAATTAATTCAAGATTGAGAATCCTCATAATTTTACCTTGCCATTTGACAATTTAAATCTCAGAATTTTATTCAACTTAGGATGAAAGTTGTTTAACAAACGATCATAGTTTCAAATCGGTATTATTGGTTTGTATTACAAGGGGGTATGCACACAAAACACCGAGAACAAGGCGGGTAGGTCTGAGTTAACGCTCATCACGTACCACATGTGCATTTATTTCACTGTTCCAACTACTGCGCTTACCCCCTTGTAATACAAACTAACATAAGCGATTTGAAACTATGATCGTTTGTAAAACAACTTTTTTCATAAGTTGAATAAAAATCTAAGATTTAAATGTTCAATTGGCAAGGTAGAATTATGAAGATTCGCAAACTTAATTTCACTTAAAGTGCAATTCACCGGTACGTTTTCACTGCAAACAGACTATACCATTGTCGGGTGGTCAGACTCGCTGGCTTGGTTGACACAGGTCATCGTAGACCAACTGCATAGATCGATGCTTATGCTGTTGATCACGAGATTGTCTGGTCCAAAATTATCAGTTACAGGCCGCCAATAATGTTGTTGAGTCCGACGTTAAACAACACGTATAAAACTGAATAATTGAAGACATGAATAATCTTCTCAACATTCGTCAGTTCATTATTTTATATGTTTCATTCTTGCTCATTGCAAAGCGTTTGCTCATAGAACTTGGATATTTTCAAAATGCGAAAAGACCCGTTATCATATTATTACTTAGCATTTTTATTTTGGGTTGTTTTGTAATTTATTTTACTGTTTGGGTTTTTTGTTTTGTTTGGGTTTTGGTTCAAATCATTTGGGCATACAATGGGCATCGTTTATAGGGAATTCAAATATCTAATAGTATATATCCCAACACGAGCTGAATTCGACGTTCTGGTGTTTTCGATTATCGCGTTGCTGGCGCTATATCGGGGGAGTACGTGCGCGATCGGTGAGCACAAGCAATTTCATTGGCAGGACGGATGCCCAGTCACTGTCATGAGAAGTTGTATTGACAATTGAAAACCGGAAGTTAAGTTGTGTAAAAAGCAAACAAGCATCAATATTATTTACTCGAGATCGTTAATAGCACTTCAGATGCAAGATAAATTGCCTTTTTAACAAAAAATAACAAGCAAAAATTCAGTAAGATCATTCGTCTGCTGGTGACAATATTTAAATAGAAAGCCACGTTATCACAACACTCCCTCGTAGTGCGGAGCGAAAAGTATGGCTCATCGTCGAAAACCCATACAAAATCCACGGATGTGGCGAACGGCAACAGTTTCGCAGATACGATATCATCAACCTCATTTTTGTAGGAAACACTTGATATTTTTGTGTGAAATAGATGAATATATCCTGTATCACCCAAGGTTAGTAAAATTAAAACTTCAAATGATATTACAGATAAAAATTACGTTTTTGTCTTACATCGTCGAAAACCCCCTGATACCGGGATACATGCTTGCTAGTTCGTTCAGGATGTTGCCTGTGTTATAATTACCTTCAGTTTACCAGTCGTTATCAAAGTACTTTTACTGCAATGCATATCAAACACTTTGCTTTATCGATTTTATTTTTAACATTTATGTTTACCTGAAGCATTTTTCCTGATGACTTTGGTGTTGTCCGATTGAGGACAGATAACGTTAAGGGGCGGTGGGGTAGTCAAGTGGTTAAAGCGTTCTCTCGTCACGCTGAAGACCCGGGGTACCATGTTCGTTTCTGGTGGCCGTTGCCGCGATATTGCTGGATTATTGCTGAATTTGGCTTGAAACTGAACTCACTCACTCACTCACTTACTCATTCACTCACTTACCCACTCACTCACTCACTCACTCAGCCATTACGAAGGACATTTTATATGCATTGCCGAGTTCGTTTCGTGCGGGGTTTGGTTTTAGGCTGTTGATCCAGATGATGAATATAAATATTATATGCTGACTGAGTAAAGTCCGTTTCTGGTCTCCGCTGCCGTGATATTGCCGAGATAATTCTAAAAGCGACGTAAAACCATACTCATACTTTTCGTATTATTGCGTAAAAGTTTCTTTGCAACAAATGTGTTTCGATCCAAACACAAAACTGAGGGCAGTCCTTGCCCCAAAATTATGATGTGTTTAGGTCTGCGATTAGGAGCTGTGGTATATCTGCAATAAAGACTTAGGGGAGGTAACTCTCTTTCACGTAAGGCGCACATCACGTCCGTAAACTTCACATGCGACCGAGTGAATGCGCGGGACAACGGGCAGCCCTCATAACCCTACGCTAATGGCGTAACGAAACCTGAATTAACTTGTTCAGGGCGTTTAGGTGTTTAACCAAGGTATAGTATCGGTTGAATACCACTAATACTTCCAGAAAGCGGAACGATGGGGAAGCAAGACCATCAGTTGTAGGAGTTTTAGTTTGACGCCACACTCAGCAATATCCCAGCTGTATGGCGGCATTTGTAGGAACACACAACATCTTTGATATCGAAAGCGATCAAATATACCAAAAGTTAAATACTGGCTGAATCTCATTAGTTAACTTCAGATACTGTTTCAGATTGAGTCGCGCAGATTGTCCCAGCTTCTAGGACTTATTATCACCATTATATTTATCTAAAATGCAGTAAAAGCTATGCGAATAAAACACTTGAAATCAGTGATGACACCGGGTGTTGGCGAAAAGGGAAAGCATGTGCTGCCCTGTCGGTAACACCCTCTATTTACACGTTGGTGAAAAGGGAAAGCATGTGCTGCCATGTCGGTAACGCCCTATATTCACGCGTTGGTGAAAAGGAAAAGTATGTGCTGCCCTATCGGTAACACCCTCTATTTACACGTTGGTGAAAAGGGAAAGTATGTGCTGCCCTGTCGGTAACGCCCTATATTCACACGTTGGTGAAAAGGGAAAGCATGTGCTGCCCTATCGGTAACGCCCTATATTTACACGTTGGTGAAAAGGGAAAGTATGTGCTGCCCTATCGGTAACACCCTCTATTTACACGTTGGTGAAAAGGGAAAGTATGTGCTGCCCTATCGGTAACACCCTCTATTTACACGTTGGTGAAAAGGGAAAGTATGTGCTGCCCTATCGGTAACACTCTCTATTTACACGTTGGTGTAAAGGGAAAGCATGTGCTGCCCTATCGGTAACACCCTCTATTTACACGTTGGTGAAAAGGGAAAGTATGTGCTGCCCTATCGGTAACACCCTCTATTTACACGTTGGTGAAAAGGGAAAGTATGTGCTGCCCTATCGGTAACACCCTCTATTTACACGTTGGTGAAAAGGGAAAGCATGTGCTGCCCTATCGGTAACGCCCCCTATATATTTAAATGTTTTATAGTTTCGACAGACTGGCCCATATTACAATTGTTGTTACAGCATTTTGTGTTGTCACGTGATGAAAAATGGGGAAAAATATATTTAAACACTAAATTTGGCTATTGCTTTAATGCTTTAATTTTATGAATTCAACAAATTTATTATTTAGGAGGTGCATCCATATTTGTCATCGAAAAATCTTAAATATTCTATTCTCAAATCATTATATTCGGACATTGTAGTAAAATATGAAATTCACCATGAACTTGTCCGCTGTTACAATAGTTACATACAACATATCATCAGTAACGTCTCATCATGAAACAGGTATGTAATATACGCTTCGGGATAACATCGTAATTTTACAAGACTATAATTACTCAAAAGATGTGAAGCTTGTACATTGCCTTGACAATTTTGGGCACAAATATCGACTAATCTTTGATTGAACACATACAAGAACAATGTTTCATCTCCAAGATTTTGGTATAACCATAGGTGTGAATACCCACAGGCAAACAGTAAAGACAGAACCTGAAACCCAGTTCACTTTACCTATTTCGATATATTTCGACAGCAATCGTCATTAAGACAATTGCTATGTTTGAATCCCGTTAATCACGTCGTAGCTTTTGTGTATTGTGCGCAAACTGTCCATCGTTGACAGGTTTTAATCTTCAAAATGAATCCATCTTTATTTATAAATTGTTCTCGTCACGATATGGTTGAGATATTGCCGATGTGATCTTAAATATTAACTCACTCACTCACGCCGAAGCCCCGGGTTCGATGGTACGCAACAAGAGTTGTATTGCCATTCTGGACGTTACGCACATGGGGTTGTTTGTATTGTTGACATTGATGAGGAACAAAACTAATAATGTAACCATTACCTGTGGTGGTCGATTTTTGCGTCGAAGTAGTTGTCGCTTGTGTCGAGGTGGTTGCCTCTTCTGTTTTTCTGACGTGTTCTGTAAAATTTGTGAAACGACTCAATTTCACTTGGAAACTCTCAGACTCTCAGAAAGATGGAGCACATTCAGTTCTGATATGGGGGCGGTGGGGTAGCCTAGTGGTTAAAGCGTTGGCTCGTCACGCCGAAGACCCGGGTTCGAATCCCCACATGGGCACAATGTGTGAAGCCCATTTCTGGTGTCCCCGCCGTGATGTTGCTGGAATATTGCTAAAAGCGGCGTAAAACCAAAACTCGGTCAGTCAGTCAGTCAGTTCTGATATCAAAAGAAGTTAAAAATGGTACTTATTGTTTCCCTCCTTTTTGCTCGACGTAGAGGAGACAATAAC